CTCTGGAGCATCCCATCATCTCTGGAGCTTTGGCAGGGCTGGGTTAATGATTGGACTCCATGATTTGTAGGTCTTTTCCACTCTGAATGATTTTGTGATCCTGGGAGAGGAGCAGCCACCCCTTTGAGTCCAGCTGTTCATTGTGGATGGGTTATATCCTTTCCTACATCCCTCGGGCTGATGGTGCTAATTCCCTTCACAAGGTGAATTTCAGTCAGCTGCTCAGAGCTGGGGCTGTGGTAAAACCCACAGTGTCAAGCCTCAGGAACCCAATTTTCACCCCAAGACCCAGGTGGCACATCTGGGTACCAATCCCTCCATCACCAACCATTCCCTTTTCCACACACTCCCCAGGCTGCTACCATATTTTTACAGCAAAGCAGGATGGATTTCAGCAAATCCTGCCCCAAAAATCCAGCTTTGAGCACTGGCAGGCCGCGGGTGCAGCGGGAGGCCCCAGGATTAGGCTGCAGCAGCGCAAAGCTGCCGGCACGGCAGATTAGTTGGGTCAGCAATTAAACACTGGCGCTTACGCTGCCGGCAAAAACCGGGCTCAAGGACAAAATCAGTTCCTCCTTAACGGCTGCAGCCACTCCAAAATGCTGCATCTATCAGCTGGGAGCATTTCTGGGATCATAAACAAGGCGGCTGTGTCACTGCTGGCTAAATATAGTGCCACTCGGGTGGCTGCCGTGCCGCCTGTGCCACCGGAATTGCTGGGTACACTGATTTTATTTTTTTTTTTTTTTTTTGTCTTAGGGATGGCTATGACTAAGAGAAATCCACGGCTGGATGGATAGCAGAAGATGGAGGCCCTGCTCCAAATGCAGGAGAATAGAGTCTGGAGTTTGCACACCTGATCAAAATATCCCTCACCTTCCTCCTCTTCTTCCCTCTTCTCCTCCTCCTCTCCTTGGCAGTATCCAAAACAAGACTATAGTAACAACAGGCACACCAGCAAGACATGAAATATGTCCTGGTTTAAATCACAGTGCTCCTGTGGTGATGCCAACGGGGATAAACACCTACCTGGAGCTGCAGGGGGCAGGAAGCCCTGACAGCCACCCCGTCCCTGCCATCCCCTCCCGGAGCACCCAGCTGGGGCTGGCTCAGCAGGACCACAGCAAAGGCAGGGATGTCTGCATTTAGCTACATATTTGATCTCTTTTTTTGGCCTGAAATGGGGTTTTTAAAGGCAATGCAGCTCCGTGCTTGCCTCAGCATAACAAAATGGGGGGGTTGAAGGTCAGCTTCCCGGGGCATTCGCAGCGAAAGGCATTTCTGTACTGACATCTCCACCAATCTCCCTCCTGCAGGAGGGACAGTTCTGTCCACACAGAAGCTGTACAAGTAATGATCCATTACATTTATTATTTTAAGCCTGAAAAAAATCCTTTTTTAAATTCAATAAGCCTAAATAGCTCTCACAGCCCTAAATGCACCAGCCCCTATTTTGGGGTGCAAGAAGAGATGCTCATGTTCCTATCTGAGGTCTGCGGAGCCGGTAACACTCAGGGTTATCAAACCCTCCATGCCCAGGTGTACCTTCCCAAATTTCAGCACCTTCCCATCAGGTGCTGCCCTGCCAGGAGAAACAGTTTTCGGTGCAATTCCTTCCCTCAGCCCTATTATATAATCAGGCTTTAAAGCAGGAGGGGTTTTTTTTGCTTTATCCAAAGCTGCGGGATCCCACCGTGTCTTCCCGATGATTACTCAGCACAAATGTGCCGTAAACAACATCCCCAAATTTGCTCGCGCCCCGTCTCGCTGGTTTTCCGTGGAGAGCTCATGGAAGCTTTGCTTACCTTGTTCCTCAGCCCCGTGCATCCTCCTCTCCCGGCTCCTGCTCAGCGATGGGGAGCCCGGCCGTGTCCCGCACGCCGGTTTTCCTCTCGTCATCCAGCGGCAATCCCGGGTCACGGGGCGACGGCCATGGGTTGGGACGCTGCTGCTGCCTGGGAACTGCGCGACGCTACGGGGCCCTGCCGGGTTATTTTTGGGATTACAGAGACTCAGGAAAGGATGAGGATGGAGGCAGACATATCACATCGTCTAAAATGTGGCATGGATTGGGATCTGGAGTCTGCAGCTCTGAGCCACCCAGCGCAAACCTCAGCCAGCTTTTTTTTTTTTTTCCTTTTCTCTAATTTTTTTTCCTGCTTTTTGGAGAAGGTTAAAGGCTGGATGGATTCAGCAGAGATGTGGCATTTTAAAGCTTTGCAGAGCTGGGAAGAGGGCAGTGTGCTGATCCAGGCACACCTGGGGCACTTCTAGGCAGGCAAGCAGTATGTGATGCTGTAAACATACAAATTGGAAATAGAATCATGGAATCATTTAGGTTGGAAAAGCCCTTTAAGATCAAGAGTTCAACTGTTCCCCCAGCACTGCCAAGGCCACCACTAAACCTCCCAAGTGCCATAACCACAAAGCTTCTAAATCCCTCCAGGGATGGTGACTCCACTGTTGTCCTGGGCAGCTGTGCCACGGCTGGATAACCCTTTCCATGAAGAAATTTTTCCCAATATCCAACCTGAAGCTTCCCTGGAGCAATTGGTGGTGATGACTGGCCAGAGGCATTCCAGCACGTGCTGCAGGTCAGGCTGTAGGGATGGAGACGTGTCCCTTGTGTCCCCCCCACCCCCCCAGCTCCCCTGACAGCAAGGCTTTGGTCCCAGCTGGATTTTGGCACTCTGCACATATTTCTCTGCTTTTTGACCTCCAAACTTTTGTTTTTAGACTGAGTTCATTTTCTAGCTTATGTTTTTTCTCCTTGTATTTGTCTGCCCTTGCACCCTCAGGCAGAGCTGCATGGAGGCAACACATCCCTCCTCTGTCTCCGGATTGCCATGATCCTTAACCCTGGTTTCACCCACATCGCTCCTGCTGGCTCTGGCTCCTTCACCCATGGACACCAAGGCTGACCCTCAGCTTTGCCTCTGCTCTCTCACCTCCCAGGCAGCAACTTCGCTGCTTATCACACTGTTGTTTTACTCTCCTAATCATTCCTGAGTCTCTGCATACTCCAAACACGGAACTGAGAGCCCTGAGCCACTATTTGGGAATGAAAGGAAAAAGCAAAAAGCGCTGGGATCTGCAAACTGGTGGCACTGGAAGGAGGCACTTCAGCTTAGGGTGTCTAATTCCCAGTCCCAACCACATGTGACGGATTACACGGAGCACAGGCAACAGCCAGAGCCTCCTTGGGCCTACTGCTCTCCAGGACTTTATTGGGGGAAATTAAATAGGAAAAAAACCCCACTTTCTATGCAATAAGTTGTCCCTGCCCATGGCAGAGAGGTGGAATGAGATGGACTTTAAGGTCCATCCCAACCCAAGCCAATCTGGGATTCCATGATTCTATGATCAGGATGGAAGGTCAGGAGGAAGTGGCATCATCTGCACTGCCAAAATTGGACTTTTAACCAATATTTTTGATTATATCAAGTAATGTATATCAAATGATATCAAATAATGTATCCTGGCTGTAAGACAGGACCCAAACAGCAGCATTGCTCCCAAGCCCAAAACCGGGGGGATTTTCCATGTTCAAGTGGGGATGCTCTGCCTCTTCTTTCCCCCTCCTCCTCCTCCTCCTCAGCTCCTACAAAGAAACCCTGTCTTGTCAAGGTATAACTCACACACATACACTGCCAGCACAGGGATCAGCAGGAGAAAACCTTTATTTACATCGTTTGAGCAGTAGCAGAGCTGCAGCGATTCACCGGGAAGAAACTCCAGGAAGAAAACTCAGCTTGACATTCCAGAGGGGAGACCCTCCTCCCATCACACAGTATCTCAGGTCGGTACAAAATTGCTGTCACTTTACAAAAGGTCTAAGATTCACAGTTAAGTACCAAAGGGGAGGGTGAGGGGGATGGGAGGGATGGGACCCCATCCCTGCTGGAATTTGGTCTATGAAAATGCACCGTATGACAAGTCTGGTAGAAAAATCCATCCCGAGGGTTGGACATGCACAGTCACAGGATTTCTACACCTACTGTAGGGCTCAGAGCCTGGAAAAGAAGCACTCAGGTGGCTCTCCTGGGGCAAAGGCATCTGCAAATACTGTCCTGCCACTGGGCAATTGCATGGGAGAAGTCTCTCTTCAGGAGGAATTTTGCAGGAGGGAAGGATGAGACACAAAAGGTGGGCAAGGCAAAACAGGGGGCAGCTCCTTTGCCCAGCATTCAGCCCTGACAGAGCCACCCACCATGGCCAGGATGCTTTTATAGCCTGAAAAACTCACTAAAAAACTCCACCCCCCCCATCTCCTCCCCTCGTGCCCAATGCTGTTAGAAAGAAAACAGCACACACATTTTGGCTATTTCTAGATTGGTGTTAAAACCAGCCCAGACCTTTGTCTGAGGGTCATGGGAAAATCTAAAATCTTTCTTAAAGAGGATTTCACTGGGGGGTGGAAGATTTGTGGCCTCCCAGCAGGGAAGCTCCAGGGAAAAGGAAAGGCCCCTAGGGACAGCAGTGAAACCTGACAATCCCTTTGCTCCCACCTGGAAAATTCCCACGCAGAGCGGGGTGGGAGCACTCCCCTGGCACTCCCACTTTCACCCACAGGCAGGTGCTGAGCAGGTGGCACGTGGGCAATGATTGTGTGTGGAAGGTGCCCCTTCCGGCTCCATTAGTGGGAGAGCACCAGGACAAAGCTGGCTCTGACAGAGAGAGCAAACATCAGGAGCTCTTCCAACAGCACAAGGATGGAGGAGGCTCAGCTGGGATAAATAAACCTGGGAATGTGCTGAAGTTTCCCATGGAGCCCATGCATCCCTAAAAAAGCCACTCCCCCTCTCCCGCTGCAGGGCCACTCTCCAAGCAAAAATAAACCCAGCGACAGTCCAGCTGCAGAAACCTGCCCAGGCTGCTCTAATTACTCAAAGAGGTGTCAGAGAGTGACAGGTTTGTGCCCTCCTATGAGCACCCCTGGCAGACAGCTCATCCTGCAGATCCATCAGCTCCCTGTGACATCCCAAAAGACGATGCTAAAATTCAGCACTTTTTGTTTGTTTTAAACCTTTAAAAATACACATCTTGCTTTTTTTTTTTTTTTTCTTAAATACATAGTCTATAAAATAAGGCAACTCGAGGAGACAAGGGGAATGTCCCCATTGCTTAGGTACTGTATCCCACCAGCAAAGAGGGTGACAGTACTTCCAGTTGAGAAAAGTGACTCTGCCCGGCCCCAACACATTCCAATGGTGCTGTAAATCATGGGGAAACACCTCAGCAGCCCCTGGATGCATCCCAAGGAAGGAAGGATCTCTGGGATTTCATGGATAGGGAGTCACTTTGCCGGGGATGCTGCAGCCACAGCAGGAAGAGCTTAGGGAACCCCCATGGCCAGGAGACCTCAGGGACAAAGGCAGCACAGAAGATGGAATGAGTTGATTTCTCCCCAGAACTGAAGTACACATAAATCTTTGGGAGAAACTCTTATAACATGATTATCTTGAAGTATTAGAAGCTATAAACAAGGTAAGCACAAAGGAGTGCTACTCATTCCCAGCCCAGATCCTGTTCAATCTCACAGCATTCCAAAAAATACAGACTGTACAGCAGCTTTTTATAACATGGAATTCATCTCTCTCTATGGAAGGAGTACAAGTGTGTGCTTTTCCTCCAGTGTTTTCCCTCTTTTATGCATATTAATGCTGGAAATGTGATCTTCACATCTCAGAGCCTTGTAGTATTCACGTTTTCCATGTTGCTCCCCAACTCCCACTGGGCTAAGTGTTACTTTCTAGAGCTTTATTTCTCTGAGAAATAAATTTAATATAAAATAATTTATAGGAAAGAAACCTCAACCTAGAGAGTACTCAGCAGTAAATAGTCCTGTGGAGCAACAGGATGGCACATTGTAGGCTCAAACAGGGGCTGGGGTTGGAAGGGGGTGGCAAGGACACCATGGCAAGCTGTGTAAACCTGGAATGATCATTACCTGGGTCTGCATCACTGATCCATGATGGACCATAGGCAGGAATAATTTATAACCTCAAAAGAGGAAAAAAAACCCCTTATTCTAACAAACCTGACCTTATAAACAAAGATCTTTTCACCCTGACACTGGCTATACTGGTACCCACCAATGGCACCCAGTACACCATCACCTAATCTGAGCACAGCCCTGGCACTGCACAGAGGAACCAAATCCATGGTGAACTCCTGGTCCTTGGCATGAGTGTTTAGTTCTCCTCGTCTGAGAGAACAGGTGGGATCTTGCTGGACAGCAGGGTGTACACGTAGGGCCAGATTTTGTTGGTCTCAGTGCCGGAGAAGGAGTGAAGGATGCCCCTGCTCCTGGAAAAAAGACGGGAGAAGAGGTCAACACCAGCCTTCCTGAGGACAGGGGTATCCACAGGCAGGTGGGACAGGGCTTGGAACAACCTCATGGAAGGTGTCCTGCCCATGGAACAAGATGGTCTTTGAGGTTCCTTCCAACCCAAACCATTCCAGGATTCCGTGATTCTCCCCCTCTTCTGCAAGGGTGATTTTGGCCACTCGGGGACCACTTCTGCACTTCAAAACACTCCATGGATCTCACTCCTTTTCAGCAGTGGATTGTCACCCTATATTAATCCATCTATTCCCAAGCTGGCCAGGGCACAACTGCCCCAAAATACCAGGGGACAAGCCCTGAAACCCTCCTGTACTCCCAGCAGACCCATCCAAGCCAGTGCCGGGGCCTTGCCCTTCTCCTGCCCTCTTGCCAATCACTCCATACTCCACTCAAACCCCTCAGGGCCTCGGACTGATTTTTGTATGGCATGGACCACCCTGGATCTGTGCCTTCTGCCACAGCCAAAATATCCCTCCCATTGCCAACCCCAGCAAAGCCCTTTATGGAGCCCAGCAATACAAACAGGAGCTGTGAATTCCTTTAGATCAACCTCCTCCCTCCAAGGGAAGCCCCTCTAGGGCCAGGGCTTGCCTGCAGTGGAGGGCTGGGCTTGTGCTGCTGAGCCCAGTGATCTGCATCCCAAAAATCTGTTGGGACTGTGCCGGGGCTCCTGGGGCTGTGGGGCTGTGGGCACGGGACTGGGCTGGTGAAATAGCACTCAGGCCTGTTTTTACAGGCATGCTGTGATTTTTTTCTCATGGTCCAACTCACTTGTACAACTCTATTACAGGCTTTGCAGCATCTTTGTACTTTCTGAGCCTGGCAGCCACGGCCTCGGGTCTGTCATCCTCGCGCTGCACCAGAGGCTCGCCCGTCAGGTCATCGACGCCCTGCGGAAGAGAAACACCATCAGGGGACATGGCCACCAGCCCCATCATCCCTCTGGAGCTCCCTGACAAACACCTCATCCTGCTCTGCATCCATCCAGCATCCTGGACAGCATTCAGCATAAATCCCATATCCCTTTAGCACAACTCCTCCAGGCAAATCGGTGCTCAGTGCTACTACCTGGGATTGCTCCCTCACTGCTTTTCTTAGGATCCCAGCTCATGCAGACAAAAGCTTGTCTGATCTTTTCCTTTCGTGGCTCGTTCCCAGCTGCTCCCTGTGCTCTTACCTGGACGTGGGGGGGGTTGAAGTCCATGTTGTAGACCCTCCCACTGCCCGGGTGGACCCAGCGGGCGCTCAGACGATCCTTCAGCGTCTCGAAGGGAATGTTCAAGCTGATCACCAGGTCCAGCTCACAGATCCTGTCCAGCGCCTTGGCTTGTCCCAGTGTCCGAGGAAAACCTGTACAGGCACCACAATGGAAAGGGGCTGGAATGAGAGGTAGGAAAGCAGCAAGAATGGAACCAAAGCCATTCATCACACAGCTCCAGAGCTGCAAACCCACTGCAGCTCCTCCCTGTGCTGTAGCACAAGTGGTGTGAAAGGCAGACACCACCATATGGCTACAATAAAAAATAGCTCCCACAGCACCAGCTCCTGAAATATGACACATAGGTCGCTGCGGGCTCAGGTTTTCCTGCAAAGACATGTCTGGTGTCCCTGCACGGGGGCTGGGGGCAAGTAGGAGGGAACAGGCAACAGCAAAACAGGAAGAAATGCTGGAATTACATGGAAAAACCTGAAGGAAACAAAGTGCTGTACACAGATAAGGGACAAGCTGCTCATTTACATGAAGGGCATCAAGGGTACTGTGATCAAATGGTCCTGTCCTCTGAAGGTACTGGGGGGTACCTTTGCTTTGGAAAAGCCAATGAACAGCTGGGAGCAGAGAATCATAGAATCCCAGGATGGTTTGGGTTGGAAGGGACCTTAAAGACCTGAAGGGAGCCAACAAGAAAGATGGAGAGGGACTTTTTACAAGGGCCTGGAGGAACAGGACAAGGGGGAATGGCTTCCCACTGCCAGAGGGCAGGTTTAGATGGGATACTGGGAAGAAATTCTTCCCTGTGAGGGTGGTGAGGCCCTGGCACAGGTTGCCCAGAGAAGATATCGCTGCCCCATCCCTGGAAGTGTTCAAGGCGAGGTTGGACGGGGTTTGGAACAACCTGAGCTAGTGGAAGGTGTCCCTACCCATGGCAAGGCGTGGAACAGGATGAGCTTTAAGGTTCCTCCAAACCCAAACCCTTCTGGGATTCTGTGATTGTTTGATTACAGTTCCAACCCTGCTGCCATGGACAAGGACAGCTGGCCTTACCTGTTTGCTCACAGCATCTCCTCCCCCTCCACCTCAGGCGGCTTTTGGCTTTGAGGAACCACTTCACACACATGTGGAGGCAGTAAGAGGTTTTTCTTGGCGTGTCTCCAGCTCTGCTCTGCTCTCTAGCTCTGCTTCATGAACAACCCATCCCCTTCCCGTGCCTTTCCCTTCCCTGGCTGCGTGCCAAGTGCTCAGCTGGACACGCATGTGCTGCTGCCAAGGGCAGAGGATAGAAACACCCACAGGCAGATGTCCCTGCCAGCAGGTCGGCTCCTGCCTCCCCTCCCTCCACCAGCAAAGGCACCTTCTGGCTTTTCTCTCTCCTGGTATTGCCAAACCATCAGCAGCAAGCTGATGTTTTGAGGTGGGCTGGCATTTTCCCGTCCAGAGGGCACTCACCGTCGAGCAGCCAGTGCTGCTCCCGCCGCTTCTCCAGCTCCGTCATCATCACACGCGTGATGACGTGGTCGGGCACCAGAAGGCCTCGCTCAAGGTACTGCTTTGCCAAGACACCAGCTTCTGTTCAAGAGAAGAAGAAAAAAACCCAAGAGCAATAAAAAAGATCCTCATGACATTTCCAATTAAAAAATATTGCTCCCCCTCAAATCCTGCCCGTCCTTTCAAATGGCTCATCCATCGCTCTGCTTGCAGCTGCTGTTGATAGCTGGGGCCACACAGTCATTTTTGTGCTGGAGAAATGGAAGTACCTGAGATACCTGAGAGCAGGAACATGGTGATCCCAGCCAAGCCTTTGGCTGACAGAGCAAGGGACACTGGCACCAGCCAAACGTGCCAACACGTGGAGTTCCTTTGGTTCAGGAGATGGATCCAGTGCAGTTACAGGTGACACTGGCACAGGTATGAAATGTCCTGAAGACACTGAACCTGCTTCCCACCCACAGGGCTTGAAGATTTCAGAGCCTGCACTTCAGATATGCTCCGATAAGAAAGTTATTCCCAAAAGCAAATTCCTGAGAATGTAATTGATGTGTAATTGCAAGGTAAACACTCCTCCCTGGGCTCCTGCCTGGCTCCTGCATCACTCAGCTTCAGCTGCTCCTGGAAGCTGGAGAGGGACTTTTTACAAGGGCCTGGAGTGACAGGACAAGGGGAATGGTTTCCCACTGTCAGACAGCAGGATTAGATGGGAAATTGGGAAGGAATTCCTCCCTGTGAGGGTGGTGAGGCCCTGGCACAGGTTGCCCAGAGAAGCTGTGGCTGCCCCATCCCTGGAAGTGTCCAAGGCCAGGTTGGACAGGGTTTGGAACAACCTGGGATAGTGGAAGGTGTCCCTGCCCATGGCAGGCGGTGGAACTAGATGATCATAGAATCACAGAATGGTTTGGTTTGTGAGGGACCTTGTTCCAACCTCCCCACTTTAGATGGTCTTCCAACCCAAACCATTCCATTATTACAGTTTGCCTGTGATTTTCTTTGAGCCACTCAGAGACACAAGGAAACTGTTTGGGGAATCAAATATTCTTTGCTCCCATGTGTGATAAGTCCTGCTCCTGTCACCAGGAGAAGTCCAGACCCTTTCCCTTTGGATCAGGACCCGACAGACACCTCTTCTCTTCTTTCCACAGCAGCTGAAATAGCATTTGTCACCAGAAATGAACAATTTTGCAATCTGTTTTTTGCACGATTTCTGGTGAGGACAGCACATTTTAGCCCTCTCAAAGTATGAGTCCTCTCTAAAAATAAGCCACAGGATCCTGCATTTGGAGGTAGGCTCTGGTTTTCCAGGCTGCAGCAAGATGTCAAAGCGGGCAGCACGTGCACCTGGCTGTGGGATGAATTCCTGAGCTGCAGGAGGGGGTTTTTGCAAGCTATACAGTTCTTAGAGAGAATTCATCTGATCTAAGGGAGAAACCAGCCTGAACAGATCCCCCGGGAGTGTGGGCTTGGGTGTGTGCAGGAAACCTTGTGAACTCCCGAAATGATCTGCAGAGGATGCCTGGCTGGAAAGCAGGGCAGTTGGGGCTCCTGGGTTGAATCCAGAATCCAAAGGAACTGCTGGGAAAATGCAAATATCCTTTCCCACTGTGTGTGACAAGTCCTTCTCCTGACACCAGAAGAGGTCCAGCCCCTTTCCCCTTGGACCAGGGCCAAGAATCCAAAATTTTGGAATCCAGAATCCAACCTGCCTCAGAATGGGCAGGCGGCCGGCGCTGACTCACCGGCCTGCGGGGCTGAGTCACTGCAGGGACCGGGATCACATCCCACTCCCTCTGATCCATAAAGGCATTCCAGCTCACCCTGCTGAGCGGCTCTTTGCTCAAGGCCACAGTGATTGCCAGGAATGGAGGGCAGAAAACACCTTTTCTCAATGACAAGTTCTCTGTCACTGCCCAGACGTCACCGGCGCTGTCGGCAGTGATCCTGCTCGGCAAAGCAAAGGACTCAGGGATGGAAACAATACACTTATGCAACCAGCACGGAGACCTGCGAGGGCAGAAATAGTATTGCATCTGCCTACACTGTTTGATATTTATTCACATGGTCTGCACGGTGCCAGAGGCTCGCAGGGAACGTGCTCTCTGGCAGGGCAGGGCTGATCTCGAGGGCAGGGATGTCCCCGGGGCAGGGTTGCTCCCAAGGCAGGGTTGCTCCCAGGGCAGAGCTGGTGGCCACGGAGGCTGGAGCTGCCACAGAAGATCTGGATGTCACTCCGAGGAGGGGTGGCCATCTGAGGGACCGGCTCTGGCTCAGCAGGGCTGCTGGAGCTGGGCCTGGAGCTGCAAACCAAAACACACCAAGCCCCAGCTGGGGCTGGGAATACAGTCTGGGAATACAGGTCCACAGTCCTGCATCCCAGAGGCTGCAGCTTTCCCACGCCCCCGATATGGGTGGACAGTTCTCCACTGTTCCGTGATGGACAATTCCTGCTCTTAGGAATGCTGCTCCTCTGCACCTGCTGTGCGTGCCGGGGGCACACACCAGCACAGGGACATGGAATGCATTACCATGGGGGTCCACACACGGAGTGCTGACTGCTTCCAGAAAGCTCCTGGAGCTTCTCCCTCCTCCAAAGCACAGGCAGCACTGCCACCCCTTCCCTCCCTGAGGAGCAACAAGCATGGATTTCACACGAAGGACCTGCAGATCTGCCCAGTCTCCAGACCACCAACACCCAGGATGTGCTGGAATGCATCATTCCAGCAGACACAGCCCTTGGTGTTTCTTCCAGGCCGCCTTTAACTCCAAATTTAACATTTGCTATCCCCTTCCCAGTCAGCCCTGAAGCCCAGCCTGCTCCAGGTAAGACCCCCACCCCAGTGCAGCCCTCCCTGGCCTCAAGCTAGAGGGGAGCAGGGTTTGGGCAGTCTTTCCCAAGCGGGGTGGAAAATCCCAGTCCCCCACCATGAGGAGCTGGGACTCATCCCTATGGAACTGCACACCACCAAATCCCCCTTTGGTGTGGCTGGGTGCAGAGAGGGAGTGCAGGCATTACTCTGCAGTTACTCCAGGTAGCAAAGGGCTCCTTAGGTGTTGTTTGTGCTTAGCTCAAACCCAGCCTTTTGACCCGTGGATTTAATCCCATTAATCTAATGACCATGGGTTTAATCTGCCCTTTAACTCATGGGACTTCCAGCTCTCAGTGGCTTCCCCCATGTGGCCCTGATCTGTCCCTCTTTATCACAGCAACACAGTCACAGCCCTGAGGGATGTGTCCCACTCCCGAGGCCACGATCCACACAGCAGCCTCCCAGGGCCAGGAAGGACAGGCTGGAGGAGAGGCTGTTCCCAAACATAGCACTCAGCAGCCTCCAGACCCTGCACAATAACCCCAAAATTTCTGCCCTGTGGCAAAACCTTTAGCATGTTTTTTTCCCTATTATTTAGGCAACAGCAACATAATCTGGACTAACAGAGAGGAGAAACCTTGGGTGTGAACAGGGCAGTGACACCGTTGTCTGTGCCCCACTGCAGTTAAGCCACACCAGATGTCACCCCAGTTTTGGGACCCCAGGACCTTTTTTCTGACGCAGATACTGCATCCAGGACCTTGTTCCAACCCTGTCCTCAGCATAAGGATGTCATTTCGGGGAGCTGGAGCCTGGAATGGCCCCAAATTCAGGCCATGACACTGGATGGACAGCAGGATCTGTCTGGAGGGCAACAACCAGTGCTGGGGGAGACCCCATGGCCAGAGACCCCATGTGGCTGCTCCCAACTTGGGGATATAGCAGGGACCCCAAGGAAAAGCAGAGGGCTGGCAGGCTGCATCCCCTGAGCTCAGCTTTGACCACCAACCAGGCCAGTGTGGCTCTGCCAGCAAAGACCCCCAGAAAGGTGGGAGAAGGACTGTGGGGCCAGCCCACTTCCCCCTTGGAATTTTGTTTTGTGTGTACCTAGGAGGATGCTAACAAATGAAATCCATCACGAGGAAGGGACAGGAACCACTTCTGTCTCCAACAAAGCTCCTAAAAGGGAGCAGTGGGGCAGGCATAAGACTCACAGACTCTCAGCCAAAGCCAATTAAGTTGTTTTGCAAATTAACTGCAGAGTCCTGGAGCCTGGAATGCCACTGGCACCAGAGACGACCACTCGGGTTCCGGGGCAAGTATTGGCCAAGGAAATGGCTCACCACCCTCCAGCAGCCCTGCCTAGCACCAAAACGCAGCCTCTAAGCCTTCCAAGATGTTGAAAAGGCCTTTTGCTACGACAGAGCACCTACTCACTGAGAGACACTAATTAAGAAACACATGGGCGGGAGCAGATGCACTTCAGAGTTGCTGTAGCACAACTTAGAGCCCCTTCAGGAGCAGCCACGCGTTCAGTGGCTTTGCCTGGCTGTGAAGTCCTTGTTCCCTGAGAATGCTAACACGGACACTGACAGCAGGCCTGGGACACTCTCCATGCTGGCTGCTCTGACTTCCTCCGGCAGCTGGAGCCCTCCGTGCCCCCACAGCCTGAACCCTTAGCCACAGCCACTTTATGTCTGGCACTGGCAAGCAGGAAAATCCCTGGTGCACTGACTCTCTAAAAACACTGGATTCACGATTCCCTTTGGGATGATGAGCCTGTAATGATTCTGTTGGTATTGCAGAGCCCCAGCTCCCCCACAATGCAAAGCCAGTGGAACAGTTGATAAACTTGGTAAGAGAATCTACTTCCACCTGGTTTCCCCCAGAGCTGGCACACAGCAGCACAGTCATGTAACAGCTTGTCCAAAGCAAATAGCAAAAAAAAAAAAAAAAAGCAAATAGCTGGAGCTTACTGAGAGCTGTAAGCAGAGGCTGAGTCAAAGGTGGGACCTGAACGTCACACACATGGCTGGTCTCCTTCTGAGTAATTTTCCCTGCACTTCTCCGTGTTGTTTCCTTTGGGAAACTGAATGTGCGCGAGATACTTTGGGAAACAACTTCACCTAACTCCATTCACAGCCCCTTCTTCCTTCTCCAGTGTCCCCAGAGAAGCCCTACAGCAGGAGCATGAACTGAAATATAAAATTCAAGACAGTGACTCATTCAGAACTTGACTGTGGAAGTTCCCAGATGGGCACGGTCTCACCACGCTTCGCCTCTCCACAGGTTGCACCTCTGCTGGCTTTTCACCCCATCTTTCTGTCCTTCAGCCAAAGCCCTGACAGATATTTTCCAACTTTTCAGCCTCCCTCCAGAGGAAATATTATTGTCTTTTTTATTTACCAAAGGAAATCTGAATATTTTTACGAGTGACCAGCACAGGGCTGTGTGCAACGCCCTTGCACCATGCACCTCTCCAAAACTTCACCCTCCCTAATTTTCCTCCCTGTTTTCATCACCCTTCTAAAAAGGGAAATCACTTCTATGTTCTCTGGCTTGTTTTGTCTCCACACCGTTTCACCGTTCCTCTGCCCGGTGAGTCAGCTTCCCCCCCCCCCCCCGGTCAGTCTTTCACACATTAGCAGAGGAGAGAAGGAACTGCTGGATAAAGAAATACGCTGGGATTGCCTAATGGCAGCTGCAGAAGAACCCGAGCAGGAGCTGGGGTGCAGCACGGCTGCTCCAGAGCCTCACCGGAACCAGGAGCACCTCAGCAGCTTGGGACACGGGCACAGCACATCCCATCTCCCACAGGGTTTGCACTTGGATGTCAGACACGGGATAGGCAGGATTGCTGTCAGTCCCAAAAAAACGAGTCTCGAGGGGTAACCTGTGCAGGGTGGGTGCTGACACCCACCTCATCCAACTCCCTGCTTCTGGAAAGGAGGGGGGCACACCCTGTAACACCCCCAGCCCTGCCACAGGGCACAGCACCCCATGACACGCAGCGATATTCCCAGCAGGGTTTCTCCTGTGGACAAATGCGTGTTCCCAATGCATCCCTCCCACCGTGGGTGTTGTGCGGGCACAGCGTGCACCAGCATTCCAGCCATCTGCCATCCACCGCTTTAGGTTTTCCCCCCATCCCTGAGCAGCCACCTGAGGCAGGATGAAGTTATTAATAACACATAGACGCCGCCGTTAACCATCAGTGCACGGGCAGGTGGGTTATTCCTACCGACCTCTCCGGAGCTTAACCACCTGGCACAGGGATAAAACTGTAGCGCACCCACGGCACCCGCGGCATCAGACCCCACTTTTTGCGGGCAGCTCCGTCAGCTCAGGCTGGAGGGAGAAGGCAAAGAATGAGCTGTGCCAAATCCACGGAAAGAAAACAACCTGTGGTGTATCGGGGGGGTGGGGTGGGGGGGGAAGAGAAGGGGGGAATGTGCATTCCATCCCATCTCCATCCCACTCCCATCTTCATCCCCATCCCTATCCTGTCCTCATCCCCATCCCATCCCCATCCCCATCCCTATCCTGTCCTCATCCCCATCGCCATCGCTGCCCCGTCGAAGATGCGCGGGGCAGGGACCTCCCTGTCCCACCGCTCCCCCCGACGGGGCGGCCCCGCGGGCACTCACCGTCGCTGCCGCCGAGGCTCTCCCGCAGGAATTGCCCGCTAGAGAGGTGCTGGAGCCCGAAGCTGCGGGCGATCCTCTCGCACACCGTCCCCTTGCCCGAGCCAGGGGGTCCCAGCACCACGGCCCGCAGCAGCTTAGAGGCCATTCCGGCTGCCGGAGCCGTGCGGGGCAGGACACGCGTCAGCCGCCCCGGCCCCGCGCCGCTCCCCCCGCACCGCCCGTACACATCAGCAGGGCGGGGGGAGCCCCGCGGCCGCTCCGCTCCCGCCGCCCGCCCGCCCCCTCGGGCCGCGGCACCCTGGGACTTGTAGTCCTGCAGCCGCCCGCGCAGCCCCGCGGCCCGACGGGGCCCCCACGGCTCTGCCCGGCTCGGCTCGGCTCAGCCGGGCTCGGCTCGGCACGGCACGTCCCGGCTCGGCGCGGGGCGGGCACAGCGGCGGGAGGTCCCGGAGCCGCACCGCCCATGGAAGCGGCTCCGCGGGATCCCGGGGCACGTCCCGCACGCCCGGCACGGCCGTGCCCGCAGGGACCGCGACCACCGGGGCGGACACGGCGGGACGGGAACGCACGGGCTGCGGACGCGGCCGGCGGCTGCAGCCGGTGATGGTACCGCTACAACCTGTGGGGGTACAGCCGGCGAACACAGAGCCCGGGAAGGCACAACCTGTGGATGCGCAGCCGGAGAATCCACAGCCCGCAGAGGGTGCACAGCCTGTAAACAGGCTGAAAATGGTCGCACAGTACACGGTGTGCGATCGCAGCTGCACATGGCACAGCCCGCAGGCACGGAGAGCGCAAAGTACACGGCCCGGGGCGCTCGGGGGCTGGTGGTACCGCCGGGGATGTGTGACTCCGTGTGAGTGTGCGAGTGTGTGCCCTTCCCTGTGTGTCTGGGTGTCAATCCGTGTGTGTGTGTGTTTTACTCCATGTGTCTGTGTCACTCCCTGTGTGCGTGTGTGACTCCATGTATCTGTGTCACTCCCTGTGTCTGTGTCACTCCGCGTTTGTGTCCCTCCCTGCTCTGCCCCGGCGGGCTCTCCCCCGTGTCTGTGCACGGCCGTGCCCGTGCACACGCGTGTCACACGCGTGGACCCCGCAGAGCCCCCGTGCCCGCGCGCGGGGACGCGCACCCTACACACTCCTCCTTCCCCCCCCCCTCCCCCCCGTGCGCGCCCCCGCTCCGCCGCCCCCCCCACCCCACCCCTCCCGCCCGGAAGCGGGCTGCGGGTCACGTGCGCGCGCGTCGCTGCCATAAACACGGGAAGATGGCGGCGCTCACGGCTCCCCCGCCGCCCTGTGCTGCGTCATGGCGCGCCCCCGGCCCCCGCCGGCCCGCAGGTGGGTCCAGGTCCGGCCCGGCCCGGCCTGGTCCGTCCCGGCGCCCTCACGGCCGGAGCGGAGCGGGGCGGGACGCGGGGGGAGGGGGGGTGGGGGGTGCGCCGGGCGGGAGGGACCGCGGGGCCAAGCGCGCGCCGCTGCCCCGCGCTCTCGGTGTGGGCGCGGGCGGGGCCGCCGCCTCCCCCCCCCCCCTTCCCCCGGGTGGGTCCTGGCCCCGGGGAGGGGGGCGGGGGTTTTGCGCCGCTTCTTGTCCCGTCCCGTGGCTGTTCCGAGGCTCCAGGTAACCGGAGCCTCGCGGGGAAGCGCCGTGGAAGGGAAAACTTGGGAGGGAGCGGCGGTGGCGGCCCGGGGGACCGGCCGGGGTCCCTCACCCCTCACAGCCGTGTCACCGCCCTCACGCCGCTTCATCTTCGTAACGAGCTGTTTGTTTTCTCTCCTCTTCAGGCTCGCGGAGATTTGTGTTAAAATCGCGCTGACCGAGGTGGAAATCGGGTTTTCTGCCCGAGCTTCTCTGCAGGGTGAGAGCAGCTGGAAGATCCTCGAGCTGCGCGTAGGGGGTGGGGAGGGACAAGCCCTAGGGTTGTGGCCAGGGAGCATCTCCACAGTCCCAGTGGCGTGGTGCTAAGGGAATTTTGGTTTGTGTGAAACAAGTGGAAAAAAACAGGTATAATCGCCAGCCCCAAAGGGCAGGAGGTGGAGCTGGAGTTTAAAACCCAGCCAGGCCAACTTAGGAGGGTTTCAAAGGCAAGAACTGGCAGCAAACACTGGAAACTAGAGGATTTTTTTTTTTTTTTAAAGCATATGGAAATATGCAATTGCCTCAGCAATAATAAGAACAAAAATGTGTGCTAGACTCCAAAACTAATGTGGGTTATGCTGAAAAGGGTGTTTTTTTCAGATAATAATGGAGAACCTCCATCACCTTTCTGCATCAGGTTTGTGTAGCTTTAGTCTGGCTGAAGCAAAGCAAAAATCTGTGTGTGTGTGTGTGTTAGATGCAAGACAGCAAGCTGTTTGTATTGGAGTAAGAGCTGGATTCTCTAGAGAAAATGGCACCAGCCCTTGGAATGCGTGTGTAACTCCAACAGTAGTTGTGCCAGAAGGTGTTGGGATTTGTTCACTTTCTTTTAAATGATGTGGATGCTGGATCGCGGAGGAAAATCTGAATACAGTGATCAAAGTATAGTTAAATTGTAGAATAGTGATTCGTCTCTCATCACCTCAGCCTGTGAAATGTAGGATTCCCAATCGTACACTTGTGCCACTGCACTGAAATCAGTAGAATTTTTCACCTGGAATACCAATGGTGTTGTAAAAACATCTCAAAGTGAGAGCAAATAGTTCATTGGTTATGCAGCTTCTTTCTTTTTCAAAAGTCACCATTGTATGTACAGAATTTATTATGTTTTTTAGCAAATTTTTTGTTGTTTTTTTCCTACCAACAGCTGATTCCTTAATGATTAATCCACAAACTGTGGCAAATCTGCAAGTTTTGGGATGCACGTTTAAGTCATCTGTGTCATCTTACGTCAGTATTGCATAATCTGTTGACTGTCCCCTTTTTATGTAATGTATGTTTGGAGTTTGTTTTAAAATGTACAAATATTTTTTTTCCCCTGCGTGCTGCTCCTTGGATATTCCATGTTTGTCTCTCCATTGCCCTCTGGAGTTACAAACTTGTAAGGCACCATTTTGGTGGCTGGATCCAGCAAGTGTTACGTATTTCTCTCTTAAAAACAGTCTCTATAATGGTCTCAGGACATGTTCTTTGCCAGGTGAGTTATTTAGAGTGTTAAAAAAAAACCTTCCTGGAGTTCCTTCTTCCTCCTGGTGGAAACATAAAAGCGATTTGTGCTGGTCAAGTCCATCCACATCATAAATGAACTTTTATAAGAAACTTAGTAACACATTAACTTTTACAATGTAAAACTGTTGGGGTTTTTATAAACCCATTTCAGAACTTAATGTATCTAATTCCCTTAGGCAAAGTGTGGGGTGTAGAAGTTGTTCCATGTTGTTTTCAGCAATGCCTGTTTTCAGGGAAGAAACAAAAGCAGGGTAAAGTATTGGTTGATAGAAGCTTATAATTTAACTACTTTGCAGTGGGATTGTGTATTTCCCAATTTTATATGTGTATCCCATGAGCTAAAATTGCCAACTTACCTGGCTGGCTGCCATGGTACCCACTGCCTGTCTGGTCCATGACATTCAATACTTGAGTAGCATGAGCCAAATGTTGTCTGGCTCCAGTGGATTTAAGGTGGAAGAGAGGGGTGCCCCTGTTGTCTTGTAGAGGTGTGGTTATACTTTCTCCATTAAATCCAGCATGGGTGGATTTGGCCAGAAGGAGCTGCTACTGAAAACACTTTGAGCTGTGCTGTGCAATCCACCATGGTCATTAGGATAACACTAATTATCTGGATAATTTTCTGGAGTAAAACTCAGCTGCAAAGCCACTGTGAAATGCTTTCCCCTGTGGGGTGATGTGGGGTTTTTGGGGCGCATGAGAGTTTGAGGAGGTGGAGGACATGCCTGTTGGGCTTGGCAGTGCCACGGAGGGGCTGCAGTGACTGACAGGCTGCCCTGGCTCAGTTATCACAGTGCTGATGCTGTCTCTTGTAAAGGTACAGTACTGTGATAACTGAAGGATGGCAGCCATCTGAGCTTCACGGGATCCCGGGAACGACGGCCTGCTCACCTGGAGTGTGCTCCTTTGACCTGTGTCCTTGGGCATAAAAATACAAGTTATCTGAATAAAGTATTACACCATTCGCCTGTTTATTGACTGCTTTGTCTTGGGAGGTCTTCCAGAACTGCTGTGCTTTGGGAGTCTGCAAAAAAGGTTCCCAAAGCAGGGTCCTGTGCTGTGGTGACTATTAAAGCACGGCTGGTAGCAGAATGAATTACTCTGTAGCAATACCGGAAATTGACTCCTATTTTGGTACTTTTTAATACTTCTTGTTAAAGATACCACAGTCTTAGCTGGCTGCTGTAACTCTTAGGGACATGGGTTATTTCAGTCTGGAGCTGGGACAGTCCCATGTTTGGGGCTTGTCTGACCTGTAAGTGGGAGACACTGAATTTCCCGGGTCATTTCTGTAGCGATGTCATCAAAATCCCTGGAAAGGAGGAGTTGTCCAGGGAGCCTGTGCTGCTGACTGATGTTTGTGCCGTGAGAATTAACTCTGCAGTGCTGGGACGAGACAGCAGAGGGGCCCCGCGGGCCGGGTTGTGGTGATAGTGTGAAATGCCAAGATTTTTGCATAAAGTAATCGAGACCTGCAGAGATGTTAGTGCGGTGCCTGTTTCCGAGCTTCCCTCCCCTACGAACTGATGGCCCTCAGGCTGCCGAGGATGGTGCAGCAACTTCTAGAGGTCACAGTTTATTCCCCATCCCGATGTTTAACATGGTCATTGACCCAGTGGTGTTTGGAGAACTCTTCCCTGTGGGCTGGGTGATTCACCACCATCCAGGGCTTTGCCCTGCGCTTCCCTGCGCAGCCCCAGCTGCTGCTCCTGGGACAGGACAAGATGGAACAAGCTGGTTTGTTATTTCTCTGCTCTTCACTGGAAGGTGTTGGGGGCAGCACACGCTGGGGGCTGTTCTGTGGGCCCTGTGGGGTCGGGGCTGTGCAGCTGTGATGGAACATTCTGCCAACGTGCGTCACTTAGAGGGGGGAAAATATTGTTGATGTTATGAGAGTGGCTTGAGTCTGGTTCTGGAGGAGGGCTCTGTCACACCAGAAGCTGCAAATGATA